AAAAAAAAAAACAAAAAAGAAATGTTCAAGAACACATAGCATCAAGCTGGGTGAATAAAGCCCAGAATAGGCCTTGTCACTTGGTGTGATGGTCTTTTCAGTACACAGAATCATCTTAGGGATAGGTTAAAAAAGAAAAGCACAAAATTCCTCTTTAATGAAAGGCATAAACATATTCCTTTGAGTTCCCCCCCCCAGTATTTCAAATTAATAACACAATAAAACTCTAGACTATGGCCATGCTGCCTATCAAATGCCATTCATTCATTATTTAAGAAATGTTTGATGAGCAGTTATTCTGTGCCAAGAGCACAGAGGGGAAGCAACTAAAATACATTTCTCCATTCTTGTGGAGCCTATTGTTTAGTGGAGAGACAGTCTTAAGTAAGTAGCCATTATTTTAATCACAATTATAAATTGTTTTTAAAAAAAATCAGGGAGGGCATTGGGCTCATGCTTGTAATAAGCCCATTACATGAGTAATGTAATGAGCTTGTAATCCTAGTTACTCAGGAAGCTGAGGCCTGAGCATTGTGGTTCAAACCCAGCTTGGGCAGCAAAATTAGTGAGACTCTTATCTCCAATGAACTATCAAAGTGGAATTGTGGCTCAAGTGGTATAGTACCAGCCTTGAATGAAAAAACTAAGGGACAATGCTCAGACACTGTGTTCAAGCCCCAGAACTAGCCAAAAAAAAAAATCCAGGAGCCAGTGGCTCACACTTGTGATCCTAGCGACAAAGAAGGCTGAATCTAAGGATGGTGGCTCAAATCTGGCCTGGGCAGAAAAATCCCTGGAAGATTCTTATCTCTAATTAACCACTCAAAAACTGGTAGTGGGTCTGTAGCTCAATTGGTAGAGTGCTAGCCTTGAGCATAAAGAGTCTCAGGGACTGTGCCCAGGCCCTGAGTTCAAGACCCACATCCAACCAAAACAAACAAAAAACTTGGGAAGGAAACTACGAGAAACTTATCATAAGAGAACCTTAATTTACATTGTTAAGAAAACATTTAGGAAGACCAGAAAGTACTATCCAGGCCAGGAAATCGGAGGGACATTCTGGGAGAACATAAACAGAACACTCACATGTAGCCCTAGCATGTGTTAGCCCACTTCCCCTTGCTATAATGGGATCCTTGAGGCTGAGGCCTTTCTAATGAAAAGAGCCTCTGTGAGCATAGATTGGTCTCTGCTTGGCCTGGATAAGGCGCTCATGAGGATGCATCACCGAGGGAGTGTGTGAGAGAGGGAAGGGATAGCAATCAGAGCACAGGAAGGGCAGGATCGTCCCTTCAAAACCCTTATCAGAGAACTGATCAGATTGCACATGAGCTTCATCCACTCACAGTGCCCACCAGTCCTTCTTTCTGAAAGATGCTACCACTGTCTGAACATTGTTTCACTGGGACTAAGCTTCCCACAGATGTACCACTGGGAGGACATACTCAAATCACCCATACCCACACCAGGGAGGGAAACGTGTGTGTACAGGGCAAGAAGATGGCAGGGGAATGCCTTTAAAAAGACTTCTTGGGTAGTTTAGCATGGTAGCCTACATCTTCATAGGTTGGGGACAGAAACTCATGAGTTCAAGACTAGCCTGAGCTATAGAGTGAGTTCTGGGCCAGCATGAACTATA